GAATATCCGCTGGACGTAAACAACGTATGCTGTTCTGTGTCAGCTGCGCCATGCAGATACGCTGTTTCCGTTTAAATCAAATCACAACAACGTAGGAAACAGATCCGGCGTGACGCAGCTGACACAGAACAGCATATGTTGTTGATACTCTCCAAAATGGCGCTACAGGGTGACGCGGAGACGAATTGTTGAAAAAAGTCGTTATTTTTGTTTTCTTTGCATACACCATGTGACATCAGTGGCTCAACTTTAGCTATACGAAGCTACGAGAATACTTTTTGTGCGCAAAAGAAGAAGAAAAAAAAGACTTTATTCAACAATTCGTCTCCTCCGCATCACCCTGGTGCTATTTTGGAGAATATCCGCTAGACGTAAACATTCGTATGCTGTTCTGTGTCAGCCGCACCACACAGATACGAAATATCTTAATTTGTGTTCCGAAGATGAACGAAGGTCTTACGGGTTTGAAACGACATGAGGGTGAGTAATTAATGACAGAATTTTCATTTTTGGGTGAACTAACCCTTTAAAATAGAAAACTTATTTTAATTGAATATTTTATATTTTACAATATTTCATAGTTTATATCGTTTTTAATGTATTTTTAATCAAATAAATGCAGCCTTAGTGGGGATAAGGGCATTCCTTCAAAAACATGAACAAAATCTTACTAACCCTTAACTTTTAAACAGTAGTGTATGTATGTAGATATGGCCATGACACCACACTTCATGTCTATTTTATAATGGTTTAGGTTTTTGAGCCTTTAAAGTAATACATATCTGTTCACAAATCAGATTCTCCATGAAAGCTTATGTACTAGGGCTGTGACGGTGGCATATTTTTACCACCGTGGTGGTAATGGACCAACTACCGCCGGTGGCACGGTGTTGATATATATACTGTATATTAGTGGTATCAAAATTAGCGCGTTAACGCAGGCGATTATTTTTTCAGTTTAACGTGTAAAAAATATTTAACGCAATTAACGCTGGGGCGGGGCTAGGGTTGGCCACCCCACTCACAACTGCTGCTTCTGTCACTTTTTCTCTTAACAAGAAGTGCATTTATTCAGTCGCAGAACGACTGAGAACGGGAGACGTTTCAGACGCGCGCTCCTCTTCACTTCAGCGCCAGGCGCGAGTCAAGCAAGCGCGGAAACGGTACTGTGCTCGAAGTGCGTGCTCTTCAATTGCACGCACAAAGGCGCCGGTGCGC